TGCAGGACTAAAGACATCCAGACAGGGCTTGGTGGGAGGTCGGGGGTAGCTCAGTGATCCAGCCTTTGCCTAACATGCATGAGGCCTGGGTTCCATTCCCATCGGCAAAAAGATAAGGGAAGGAAAATGAAAGGTTAAGGGTGTTCGAAAACTCACTCTGCTGTTGAGATGGACGTGCAGCCCAGAAGCATCCTTCCCTCCTGTTATCTTCACCTGTGCACCTCAAAACCTCAAAACCGAATTGTGCTTACAGAAGGGAGCTCAGAAAACATTCCTGTTCCACATGGCTTTTCATGTACTTTCTGACCTAAAAAACCTGTAACTTGGCTGTGTTCCTTATCATTGGCCTGAGGAGCCACAGAAGGCAGCCACTGGCCGTGTTAGAAGGTGGCGTGGATGGTACAGGAAGGCACAGTGGCAGACACCGGGCCTCAACTAGCCACGAATTCTGGGCATTGACAGCAAGACACACAGGCACACAGCACCTACCCAAACCCTCAGGGTTAAAACACGTGCTCTTTTTTTCTCCTTTAGTTTAATGAGGAGGAGAAAGACTGACATTCTAAAGAAATCTTTGTTAAACACCTCTGTCCACCATCCCCCAACAGCCAAGTGATCCTCGTAATGTGCGAGTTACTGACTTGTGAAAACGATAGGAGTTTGAACTAATAAAATTCTCACTTAACCAACAGTGGGAACACAACCTAACCGTGTTTTCAAACTAACCTAATTTAAGTAAGGAAGGAATGTGTCACATGTGTCCTAAATAAACAGGAGTTAGACTACATTAATCAACAAAGGTGGGATTTCAGGAAAGCACACTAGCATTGTATAGGCCTTTAAAAATACAACTATTACTATGTAGTTTCTTGAGCAAACATGAAGCTGAACTTGAACAAAATCTTGTAGTAAAATATGCATTTCAAGAGATTCCAACGCAAACAATTCAAAGGCCACAGCTTAACTGTTCACATCTACTTGAATTAAGAAATTAAAACAAAAAAGGAAAAAAGAAAAGACACAATGTAAACAGACCATAACTTTATTGGCTACAATTATTAAAAAGGAAAAAAAAAAAAAAAAAAAAAAAAAAAAAAAAGCCTCTTCCTAATTATTCAGGTTCATGTAGGAAAATACCCTAATATCTCTAAGTCAGCTGATTTGTAGATTAATAATTAGAATGAAAAAGTATTCCTTGTTTCGTTGTGGTTTGATTTTGGTTTTCTGAGACAGGGTCTCCCTGTAGCTCCAGCACCAACTAAGGGATCCGTAAGGTGCAGACTGCAAACCTGCTGTGGGTAGACTACATGTTTCTGTGAGAAGCTGCAGTACGTGATGGCATCAGTTTATCGTCAGTGAGACGGGGTGAGTCTGACTTGACCTTAGTCATTCCCTTTATTTACAGCAGAAGGGCAGGCGTGGTCTTCTCTCTCACCTTCGCACTTTTGCTATGGAACTGGCTGCCTCAGGAACTGCTGTGGCACTGGATTCTGAGCACATCTGTAACATCTAAATTGTGCTATTGTTCAAATAAAAGCAGATAAGAAAAAAACCACCCAAATAGTGGTTAAAATAACATACACAGTTTGAAAAGACATTTCCAGAGAGTGGACAGTCCGCTGGGCTCCATGCAGGATGCTGGTCCTGGTGCCTCCAACTTTTAAAATCATTTGAACTATTCTTCGTCTTAAACGCATTTTAAAACTTCTCATGTGCAATATAAATTAAATTTATTTGGAATTAATTAAAATCCAGGGAAGTAATCAGCAGGTGGAAGAATGTAGGTTCTTAGATGTTATTAAAATAAGCACAGGGGTGACACACGCAGCCTGCGTTCGCCACCACGGACAATGCAGACTGGCTAAGGATGCGAAGGTGAGTTCAGGTGCAGTTAAATAAAGGCGCTACGGTCTCCGCTTGCTAGCTTAAGTGCAAAAGGATCAGATGGCCTAACCGAGGAAGGCAGCTATATACAACAGGCCTTCCAAGTGACCTGGGTGGATGTACATTCTGACTGTTCTCGGCAGCAGGTTTCAGGGATGACGGAGCGAGCTGGCTGCTGGTGAACAGGACCAAAGTGGTCTCCTGCTAGTTAGACAAGTTATCTGCATCTTTCTGGGGGCAGGCTATTGTCAAGAAAGTAAAAATAATCAGCATTTTAAAGGATAATTACAGGAGTGTTGGTCATTCTAAATTTCACATAATGCGAAAGAAAAAAAGACACATAACAAAACATTTTAAAGACATAAAGAGTTCAGTTAACAAACCTTTGCCTTTGCCGTAAAATAGTAAAAATGCCACAGACAACAATGGCCTGCTGGAGTTGTGCCACCACATGCCCCATGCAGGCATGACAACTATCTTTTCCTCCAATTCGGTAGATCAAAGCAACAGCAGGGCCAAATCACATTGTCTCCCCTGGTTAAGCTCGGTTCTCTGAAATGAGGTAAAAGCAGGATCCTAAGTGCAGTGCTCATCTGTGCTACACAAACAGAACAAGGGAAAGCCACCGGCCACAGCTAGACTGTAAAGCAGGCTGTAAAGGACACCAACACATCACAGGGCAAGGCCTGCAGACTGGTCTGCACACAGCAGCCCCAAGGAGATTGCCCAGCTGAGCTCACCACCTAAGAGCTGTTCCTAGCTAACTGCCTCCCAAGGTACTCACAGCGCCAGAGGATTCGTACAAGGTCATAAAATGGGGTGACATTTCAACCAACGAAACTGGGGAAAACTTGACAGGGTTAAAATTCAGCAGCACGAAAGCATTCATGAGCATTTCATGTGTCTAACTCATACTTCTTTATTTTTCAACTTAGTCACCAGGGGAATCACAGAATGCTTCAAACTGTGAGTCAAATTATTATCAGCCATTTTTTCTTCATCAAGAAAAAAAATGAAATAGCTTGTCTGCTGTCAATAAAACATTCTGAATGGTAGCAGGAAATTTGAACCCTGAGAATGGATGGTCCAATCATATCCAAGTCTGAACTACTTAATATTAACAAAAAATATTCTTCTTGAGGTTACAAAATATATTGAGGCATTTTTCTCCTCCCAGGAATCAGAACTGTGGAACAATCTGATTTTGTGCCAAGAGGCTAGAGAATCTCAAGACAATGGGATAACGTGTGAGACACAACACAACTAGTCAGGTAGTTTATAAATCGCCAAGAGATCTGTGCTGTGACCACAAACCACCCTCCCCAATTCCCACCTAGCCTTACTGGCTAACTGTACAAGTTCATACCTACAACATTCAAAAGATCACTTGGTTTGAACTTATTGTGATGTCTTGCCTTAAGGTTTGTGTTCGCTTTAATCAAATCGACAACTGTAATTCCAAATCGGAATACTTAAAACGAGTCATCTAAATTAATTTGCTCAAAAGCTCATTAAATAATTTAGATCCCAATTAAAGTTTAAGATCAGAGCCGACAAATGATGTTGGAAAAGTTCACTAACCCCTTCACTAAGGGTTCCTTACAAAGCAGGGCTGGTAGCTTCTGTGTGATCGCTCGCACAGAGGCGTTTCTCACAGGTGGATGGTGCCAGGTGAAACCAATGGTAATCTAAACCTAAATGCAGCATCACACGAAGCATCGGCTTCAGAAGAATGTGCAGGAAGTAGGCGCCTCCTCTGCTCAGCTTGCTCAAACTTCAAGCGTAATTAATGGGGCAAATTGCAGCAAACCTCTACTGTATGTTGGTGGGGGGCAAGACCAACCCACAGCATTTAAAAAGGTAAATTAAGAGGTATTAATAGTTACAGTGCAAAAAAAATTAAAATTTCAAGCATGATACATAAACATAGCACCAAACAGGGGGAAAATGCATGCAAAAGAAAAGAAAAACTGAGGTATTTAAGTGGAGAGTGCCTAAAGTCTAATAAAGAAACTTAGGCAAATGCCTACATTTTTTTTTCTTTTATTCCAAGATGGAACTAATGACCTAGTTTATCTAAATCAATGAGTTCAATCCCAGACGTGTCAAAGTCCTGGCAGCACATTGCCAACACTGACTCCATGGTGCGGCCAGCACAGCGCTGCTGTCCACGGCAGCACTGTGGACAGCACAGTCGGGACTCGTGTAGACTAAGGTAAAGGTGCTCTGCTCTTTCAATAAGCAGCTCATCAGTTATAAAATCTGCAGCATATTTTAGGTATGATATGTCTAAGGTTCATTTTTCTAGAACAGCCTACCAGGCAAAATTATTTGCCACAAACATTTCCATCAGTGGGACTATAGCAGGAGGTTTTAGTAAAATTGAGCATTTAGCCAAATATAATTTCTATTATGATGTTTAAAAAAAATCCTCACTACACAACTCTAGTTTTTAAAATGTCTTCAATACACTGTGTGACAGAAGTTCTAGTAGAATCTGTACTAAGTCACAACTGCACTAGTGAGCTGTAACTGTCACCCAAGTCTCTGCATCTAATACATGATTACAGTGAAGGAAATGTATTTGTTCCAAAGAGATCAGAAAATTAAAAAAAGGCCCATGAAGTTTTTACTTTTAAGGCAAGAACCTTTTTTATGCAGGACTGTGTGGCATCAGGAAACTGAAACTCCATACATCGGCACATCAGGCAGCACTACGGCAAAGCCTGTCCCTACCATCAAGTGCAACAAGTGATCAGGCACAGCCTACACGGCAGGCGTGGGAAGGACAAGCAGCACTGGCCCTTCTCTCACAAACTGGTTCTGGTGGGCTCCAGCTGCCTAAGGACCAGTACTGGTGCTGAGGGACTGCGTGGTCAGAGGACTCTACTCTAGGAAGCCTTAGAGGTTTAAGCTCCATGACCTCTTAACACCAAGCAGAGTTGTCAGAAATTAAACACAACGAACAAAAATACCTGTCGATGATGAGTCCAAACACTTGCTAAATGTCACCATTAAAGCACTCTTGTGATTTAAACAAAGCAGGTGGGGAAAGAAGACAAGATTGTGTTTGCGCAAAAAACTAAAACTACAATTAGTCCCCAAAACTTTACACGTATGTTAAATGTTTTATTCTGTTATCTATCTTGTTATCAAACTTTAAATTCTGCCCTCAATTTGTTCTGCTCCACGGCAACGCGAATCATCCTTCTCACTGCAATGCTTCCTGATTCTGGTCACCGTTCTGCTGTCTGCTGAGGCTGCCCAGGTCTCAGCTGTTGGGAACCTGAGGTTGGTTGGCTTTGAGGCTGCGGAGGGCTCTTCTTGCTGCGGCAGATTTGGCAATCCTGTAGCTTCGGCCGACACCTTTAAACTTCCCCTTTCCTACGACTTCCACGGTGACTCTGACCTTCCCGTCATAAGTTCTCTCCGCCGGGCTGTAAAACGCCCAGACAGCTTGAATTAGAAGTCAGAGGTACTTATTCTAACTGTGAGGCAGCATTTCTAGGCCCTCTCAGGCTGAGAGTCCCTCCTACGAGCTGACACAGCACAAGGGAAACGTGCACCAGGACTTATCGTACACCACCAACACACAGGCAGCTATTTCCTCCTTAGACCAGTTTTGCTTTATAAAAACAAAAGAAAGACATCAGACCAAACAGAACCTGGAGCATAGCCTGTCCCCATGCAAATGCTTTCCAGAAATCAGTAGCTCGTGGTGTCCTGAGAATTTCTCCTTGTTTTTAGGCAGGTTAGTTTTCCATACATACATACTTCCTGCTTACCTAAATTTGGCGGTTTCTGGTTCCATCTCAAGCAATTCTCGAACTGGAGAACGGGGCACATTTGCAGAAAATTTTTCTGTAATCAAAATTAAAGAACAATGTAAATATCACCCTGGGCAGGTGGCACTTCTAACTAGTGCTCTTATATCACTAGGAGAATGCCAGCATGCTATACCTATCAGTGGCCGCATCATTGGATAATACACCTGCCAGACTACCTCCAGGGACATCCCACTGTCCATGTAAATGGCACCAGCCAGGGACTCAAAAATATCCCCCATGGCCTTTGGAACTTCAATATCTTCTTCTTTTTCTTCATCCTCCTCGGATCTCCTAAGCTATTAAAGAGAAAAGTGAGTTGTCAGCAAAAAGGTCATTTTTACAATGAGTCCACAGACTTGTGCTTCTTTTCTTAGCTATGCCTTTTATTATATGACAAGAGCAGCACCACCATACATGGTCATGGGCATTTGACAACCACCTACCTTATCAGAAAAGAAAGAGGAAGGGAGGGAGGGAGGGAGCCTTCTATAGCCAAGCATTTCTAAATTGAAGCAGAATTAAGTTTAACACAGAATTAGAAGCAGTCACAAATGTTTTCAAATTCACTTTAAGTACAGAACGGCACACTCTAACAGCCTCCCTCACGGCCTGGCAAGGCAGAGCTGGCTGCTCACTATGGCAGCACTGGCAGGGTAGATATGGCCACTTTTTTGGGCAGGGAAATCTTTTTTGAAGCCCTCTCTCCTTGGGCTCCCCTTTCACTAAGACATTTCACACACACCCACGACAACAGAAAATTTGACACACAGCGTGTATTCAGGTTAGTGGAATAAAACCTTGCCTATGTATAGAAAACCTCCCATGCTATAATCCTGCCTCTAGCAATAACTGGGTAAACAGCCTATTTATCACACTCATATTTACTAAATGTCCCAACTAAAGCTACTGAACTATTCACTCATAAGAGCCCTTTATAGAAATGAGTCATCTCACAGCTAGCAGGTGACTACCACAAATCCCAAATGCCAGTCAGTACTCCAGAGTCACAGAGCACATGAAATGAAAGGAGCAAACGCAGCCATGCGTGCTCCAGCCTGTCTTTAGGTATGCTACATCTGTGCATGTAGGCAACAGTACATCCTAACATGTTAGCATTGATTCTTTGAGGGCAGCATAATTAGGCAACTCCAATTTTCATTTTTTCTTGTATTTTCTAACACACACACACACGCACACACACACACATGCATACACACACACTACTGTGGTAGAAAATAAAGAAAAAAGGAAAATGGTAATTTATAAATAAATGACTCAATATACTCACATCACAAATAGCAGAGGAACAAATGCCTATTACTCGTATGTCATGGCTTGGAATAAAGAGACTTTTGAACTTAGCGGTTTAATTCTCTTCTTTTACAGCTAAGGAAGCTGAGACCCCGAAAGATACAGACCTCCTTAAGAAAAACAGCTCACTTTGAAAAGAAAGATGACATTTCTGTGAGCTTTGCAGCTTCTAGACATATGCTCATACAAACAGAGGGAAATAAAAGAATGGCGAGAAACTAACAGAGCCAGTGTGCCTCACTGCATCAAAGGGGAACTTCAATTTAATTTTAGCAAATTCCTCAAACTCACTGCTTAAATGTTTGTGAAGAATGAGCCGCCCCCTCGCCTCGCTGCTGGCTGCACTCCAGCTCTATCATTAGCTTGGGCCTGCGGAGGCACAGTGGGGAGCAAAAGCCCTACCCACCACTGACTGCCCAACACCTGGACTCTCAACATTCCCACAGAAAGCCAAAGAAACTCACTACTGACCAACAGTTTGGGGCAACCGAAAGAAAGAGATACTACAAACTAAAGCAAGAATAATGACTTAAGAATAAATTCCTTGAGTCCTTACAAGAAATCTACAGAAATAAGAAACTGAAGGCTTTAGATGGGAAAGAAGAGAGATGGAAGAGCTCCCTGGACAACAGAGGCGCAGAGGGGCAGGGGGACCTGAGCAGTACAAAGCCTATACTGCCCACAAAGTAATGAGTGCAGTGTGCCCACCTTAGATCCAGCTGCATTACCACATGATCACACTTAGGTTTGTTGTGTAAAGGGATTTTCCATTTCTAATAATGCCAATGTACATCTGCGATGCTACCCTGAGCTACTAGCAAATACTGGTCCGTTTAAGAAAGAAACAACAAGTACCTGAGATGTCAGGAAGGCGAAGCCCTCTTTGGGGCAGCAGAGGTGTACTCTTGTGGTATGCCTAGCCTCCAGAGCCCTACTCAGTAACTGAAAGCCCCTGGCTCCCCACCACCCCCACCTGAATAGCCACTTGGTCCATGGAGTGTGGAATCAAGTCTCAAAGGCCTATCTGACCACAAGTTAGTCTCAGTTCTCCCCAGAGGTCGTGCAGCACACAGGCTCCCTGGCTATGGCCTATAGCTAGCCCTCTGGATGGTGTGAAATCAGAGCTCAAACTACCCACACTCCCAGTTGGGAGCCGAAGCAAGCTGGCTTTTCTTCAGCACTGAACTGACAGTCTCGACAGTACCAACCTCAGAATCCATGCCTTGCATCTCGTTCTTCTCGAGCTGAAACTGCACAAAGTCATCGATGACATGGAAGAGCTCGGGAGAAACAGCTTTGAAGTATTTATGGTAGTCATACTTCACAGCCAGAGATGCGAAGATGGTGTTGTTGACCAGGGCAGAGCGCAGGTCAGTGAGGACCCCTGGGGAGTGCTGCCGTGGGTCTTCGTAAAGGTGCTTGGTTATGAGGTAGTCCAAAATCGCATCTCCCAGGAATTCTAGGCGCTGGTAACAATCTGTGCAAAGATCCGAAGTGGAACCATGAGCCTGCCCATGCGCACTGCGTGCCTTCTGTCTGCGTGTGTAACTCATGGGAAACCCAGAGCCCAGGCTGCTTTCACAGCTGTGCTCAGGAACATTTTCCTTTTTCTTCCTCAGTGAGGCAGTAACTGAACATATACTTACTACTTCCTCTGGAAATTAAGTTTAATGACAATTTCAAGCAAATTTCTTATATGTAAATTGGGTCATAAAATCTTCAAGTGCTTAAATAGTGTACTCTGCCTCCATCAAGGCAGTGTCCAATCTATACTATCAAGTGTGTGAGAAGTAGTATCATTTAACATTTGTGGGTTATGTGTACTACCCGGGACGGCAGCAGGAATAAGGACTCTCTTCAACTTGCACTGGAAATGCCGAACCCGACACACACTGAGAGGCAGAGAAAAAAGAGTTGTACATGTGAGCAAAGCCCTCAGGTAAAAGCAGCTGTCAAGCATGAAGCACTATCAGTGGGAGTCAACAGCTTGACCTTTCAGGTGGATTTCCTATAACATCTTATGGTCTCTTCAGCCAGGAAACTGAGGCTGGGACAGACATGACCTATTCCCGTGGACCTAATGGGTGAAGAGGCAAGGGCCAAGCGAGGCTGAATTCCAGGCCTCGAGACTGGAATCATGCCACTTCCTCTCCATAAAGAAAACTTGCTAGTGTATTTCTACTCAGAATCATAGAACTTCACTTCTAAGTTTTTACTTAGTAAATAATCTTAATCTACATTGTTTTTATCATACAAACCACAAACCTCATACTTCGCTTTAAAATGCTTGCTATTCTCATACAGAAAGCAAAATATAAACATCTGTGTTCACAAGCTGAAGCAAACTCTGGTTCTGGAGAGTTACTGTCTTAGGGATTAGGAGACTGTTAAATAAAGGAGGAGAAAAATATGGAGTACACTGCAAAGCAAGAGCCAGTACTCGGGAATGACTGAGGCCTCCCTGAACATTTTTTTTTTTTTTTGATCTTCCCATCTTTAGACTTAAAACCACCCTCATGGAGGGGCCTTTTTGTCTAGGAACAACAAAAGACATGGAAATACACTTTAAATACATGAATCCATCAAGGAGCTAAAGCAGCAACGAATGGGCATAAGAAAGGTAAAATAAGATGGGTGCACAGTGAAACACACAGCGTAATGTTTAACTATGCAGGATACAAAATGACACCTGAGAGAGGATGGGGAGAGGGCTGCCCTCCCAACTGTCACAGTCATGAAGCATTCGTGCTCCCGAATCTGAGGAACAGAGAATTTTGCTCTCCTATGCTTCCTCCCCGAGCCTTGAAATATTGAGCACAAGGAGTGCATGCGCACAGAGCATGTTTTTCACAAGGCCCAAACAATGCACTAGATACAAAGGCTCCTGGTCAGGGACAGGCATGTGGCCCTGGGGTTCCTTACCAGTAATAGTGTTGTAGTGGTAGGAGGCGTGTGTAAAAGCCTGCAGAAGGTAAGCCTTATTCTTGAATCTGTAGTTGATTTTCTTCTCAAAATTTTCAAACCCCGAGATCAGGTGACTCAGAGTTTTCTCTGCATCTGGATGGTCAAACATACACCTCGGTGGGATCTTCAAGCAGCCGTACTCCAAATCTTTCCCAGCAGAGGAACACGGACCAGTTGCATCAGTGCAGCCTCCTGAAAGGCCCTTTTGTTGGCTGCTCAGAGTCCCCTGAGCAGGACACAGGGCCTTTTCCCCACCGGTCCTTTTAATGACGGGGAGCACCTTCAGCCCCAGCGAACAGAGGAAAAGCTGAGCAGCCCTCTCGCCACAGCTGGTCAAATAGCAGCCCAGCAGGGCCTCCACACAGTCCGCTATGCTTTTGTCAGCAATGCACTGCTCTGTGTGCAAGTCGTAAGAAATAGACTGCTTCCCTGTGTCAACGCCACAGTTTTCTTCTGACGGATTCCAGAAGCCCACCACAAAGTCATCCTCCTCAACGGCTTTGCTAGGATCCAGATAGCACATCGCATCCCAAGAGCTGTAGTCAAAGTCCTCGAAATCTGAGGAAAACGGCATATTGCCTAAGGAGGACTTTTTGGGCATTTTCCATTCATATGCAGAATCAGTGGTTGAAAAAGGAGAAAGAGAAATTTTCTTTACAAAGGCTCCTGACCCCATTAACATGTTGTCTATAAACTGGATGTGTTCCTGATCGTACTCCAGGAAATCATCTTCAAACTCAGCCTCTTCCTTGGGAGCTCTCCACGGCAGGTCCTCCTCCTCTTCGTCTTCCTCCTCCTCATCCTCCTCGTCCTCCTCATCCTCCTCGTCTTCTTCCTCCTCACAGTCCTCGCCCAGTTTACCATTAGCCAGCAAGCAGTCTTTTGTCTGAAACGGGGAACAGGGAAGGAGGGGAAACAGAGCTGCTGTTTTTAAAAGGGTTTGAAACTCAATAAAAGCAAGGGTTATGGATAATTTCAAATGACAACCACAAATACTAAAAGGCAACTTTCAAAACCATGGCCATTTGTTTTCAATTAACATAAAATAAGTTATTTAATCATATAAACAAAGTCAAGCATGTTCTTTGAATCTTCATTTTCTAAATTATAAAATGACCTTTATCCAGCATAAATCTGTAAGTGAAGAATTCTGAACAAGGATAGTTAAAAATCAATGTCCACCACTGAAAGCATCCAGTGAGAAGAAGCCTAACACTGAAAGACGCAATGGAAGCCCTCGAGGGCCGACCAGAGACCTTCCATTACCTGACAAAGGCTGAAAATATGGTGACCCGACTTTCAAATTAATCAAATTAAATTACAGATGTAGAAAGAGCATTATCTTGTCAATTAAGTAAGAGTATAACATAAAAACAGATTATTTTTAAAACTCTTTACCACTAAAAACATACAATAGGGTTTTGTAATAAAGTTTTTCTATCTGCTTCCACTTCAATTTTTTAAAAAATGCTACAATGTAAAACTAAATTGCTTTGCTTAAATAAAAGCAACCACTGAAGCAGGGCATGAATTTGAGAAGTGACTCTTCCCCTACTCTGAGCTGTGGCACTCCGGGTGACAGCATAACGACAAAAATAGAAAATTCAGACTAACATGAGACAATACAACTTCCTTTGCTAATTCCAATTTCTTTGGTAAAAGCTTGTTTGTGAATGACAACCTTAATAACGGGCTAAAATTCACTAGTGACGTAACTTTCTACAATGCTAGAGAGATGCCAAATGTTAGCTACGCAATAAACACAAATGCACACGTATACCACCTCCCACACTTTACTCTGGGCAAAAGGCAGGAGAGCTTCAGCTTTGACTGTAACAATTGTCCAGGTATTCTGACAAAAAGATTTTCAAATTATTTGCAAGTGTTTTTAAAATAAGCATATATTTCATTTTAAACCAAACTCAAAAGAGATAGAAAGGTGGTATTTGCCTGGAAAAAAAAAATAGCAGTGAGCCTAGCCATATAATTACATGCAGCTCACTGTTTTAAAAACAAAGCGAAACTCCTTTTGAAGAATAGCAACAAACACCAAAGAAACCACAAGTGGCAAATCTCAAGGAAACTTTTCCTGTCAAAACCTCTCTACTTTTCCAAGGTAACATGAGATGTTTTGACTATTGTTTGGTTCTTAAGACAAAATAGGCCAAATTGCAACTGTAAAACTCAGGCTGAATAATTTAGAAGTTTTTAAATAAATCCTTCCATTTCCTTAGTAGGTGCTGCCCACCATAAACTAAGTTGGCAGAGCACAGACACACAAAGGCCGGGTTTCTGTCACAGAGACGGCGACCCTAAGCAGAGTCTTGCAAGGCCCGGCACTCTGCAGCGTCTTCACCAGCACAGGAAGGACCCTGCTTTAAACGTGTTCTCCAAAAGCTGGCGCGGCCTTTTAAGAGTCAGTGTGAAAGCTGCCAGTGCTCGGTGCGGCTCCCCAGCTGCCGGCACTCTCTCTTGGAGGTGTCAGGAGCCACATGTCCCCCAGGAGCTGAGCAAGGCAGGGCTTGGAACAGGAAAGGCACAAGCCAAAAGCCCTATGTGACTTCCCAATACAATCAAGCACCCACTTCAGTACATGTAAATCATCAAATGAAAGCCTAGGCAGTATTTTTAATATACACCAAGAACCAAAGTGCCAAGTCATCAGAAACAGTAAGGAAAATAGAACTCCATGGTGTAACTTTATAACTTAAAAAATGGCTTGACTTGTCACTCTTACCTTTAAGCCACAATATTTTTAAAGAATCAAATACATCATGAAATCGTATTTACAAAAGAGAAAGATGACAGCTGGAATGTTTTTCATAGAAATGAAGCACTTCTCCTAAAGTTCAAGATTCACATTTTCTACTTAGGTTTTATATATTCTAAATTAATAGCAAATGTCATTTTTTTCAACCTAACTTGCATTAAAATATTCTCTTAATGCTTTTCCAGATAAGTTACATTTCTGTGATAAGTCAAATACTCTTGAGTTAAGAATATACTCAACAAACCAGCCTAAATCAGAACAGATTCAAGGAACATGCTACCCACAAATGCTCAGGGCTTATTGGGGTACAAACATCAGCAGCAGGCCTGAAGAAGATGCTATTTAGAAATCAACTCATGAAAGAAGTGGTGTTATCATTGTCAGCCTGAAGTAAAAATGAAGTAACAAGCCCATGTATCATCAACACAAAAGAAATGCAGGATGTTAGGCTGCCTGAAGGGCCTAACCTGAAAGAGGAAGGAGAGGCTCTCCCTCAGCCAAGAGCCCAGGGCACAGAGGTCTCCCAGCTGCCCCCTGGTGGCCTTCAGGACAAGACAAAGGAAGTCTCTGGCAATATTTAAATTTACAGTGCACTACAACCTTTACAAGTACAGTGATCTTATTTTAGTTTACAGGAGGAACAGTCCTGAAGTAACCCTGAGCTGCAAAGGCCAGCCTGTGTTGAAATGAATTCTTTTAGACACAGTCTGGAGACCACAGTTCACTGAAAAGTTACTTCAACAAACAGCTAAGGATAAGCTGTAACACAATAGTAAAGGGAATCTTAGAGGGTTCTGACTTTAAGTGGAAACATAAGGAAAATCTTATGCCTTTGGAAAAAGGAGGTAACAATAGAAATTATCCTCCACCAAAACAGACACTATTTCTAAATTCATAGGATGGTCTACTTAAAGGAATTAATTCAGAAATGAAATACCTATTAAATTGTCAGCATAGAGCAGAAGGGACACAAACAGCAGTCACAACAAACAGCAAAGCTCCAGTTCAACAAGAACTCTCCAATCAAGGGGCTTACCATTTCCTCCTTCTCCCGTTTATCTGTGCTACTTCTGTCTTGATTTACCACATAACCAGGAGGAAGCCAGTTCACAGGAGGATCAAATATGGACACCACCATGCGGCTTGGCAGTCCCTTCTTCTTGCCAAGGCGATACAGGTTACAGTTGCTGACCTTTGACAGAAAACATCCACGGACACTTACCCATAAATGGCCATGGCTAGAAACCAACTGAGGTAGTCTAATACAGTCTACACTAAATGCTCTTCATATGCTGGCCATCAATTCTATTTATAATAATAATTTTAGATTCCCAAGTATTCTCTATCCTTTGGTGTCACTGAATAAATATTTATTATAAAATGCATTTCAAGCAATCCAATGTATACAAATATGCAAATTCCTTATCAATGAGTCAAAGAAACAGTTCCATTTTAAAGTTTAAAAACACAATGTGATATGAAATGCAAATTGCTAAGTGGAACTGCCAGCAGATGTCAAGATGTTGAAACTCAAGATGTCACAACATTCTGAAGTGGGAAAACGCCATCACCTTAAGTTATATAAGCTGAAAGCTGTCACTGAACAGAAGTAACAACTGCATATCCCTAGAATCGAAGCCACTAATGTGGTTTGAGTTCTCACATGATACTCTCTGAAATACTATTCTTTTGTTATGGGCAACTTTCAAGACACTGCTGTTCAGTCGTTTTAGCAGAATAAAAGGTGATACAGAGCATTTGTTCATCCCCATCAACGAGCAGCTGTTCAGTTATTGTCCATTTGCTTTTCCTAATGGCTCTATTTCCTCCCTGATTTGCTCAAAGCATTGCATTTCCGTTTGGTTTTCAGTTGGAGACTCAGGTTTAACACCATCAATCTCATTTCCAGTTTCTAAAAATTTATCGTTGACATACTTCAGGAGTCCTTTCCACAGAGCTCAACTACTACTTAGCCAGCACCAGGAACCCAAGAGAAGACTAGGCCAGGCAGACCTGCAGGAAGTAGGCAAAGGGACAGAGAAGCAGTATTTACAAAGTTTATAGACTGGCACACAGCTCTACCTAGGACTACTGTGTGTCAAAGCACTTACCGGCTGCCTGAGGAGGCAGCAATGCACACAAAGGCTGGTTCCCTGTCCATGCTTGAGAATAGAGAGAGTATCAGAGGGTGAGGGAATGAGGGCTGAGGGGGAAGCATTCCAAGTGGGCAGAAATGCTCAGCAGGATGGACAAGATACTAAGGACTTGCTGTGAGCAAAACTGCAAATAGCAGAACCAGCAGGTGGCAACGGGGAAGGGCAGGAGAGAAAGGGCCAAGCATGAGACTTGGCCAGGAGTGGCCGGCCACAGTCTAGTCAGGGTCTGTCTGGAGGAGCACGCTGAACACACCTGGACACCAGGCTAGGGGAGTGACAATTATTTCTGCAGAAAATCAAGTCAGAGGGCTCCTAGCAAATGAATGGACAGAGTTTTCCAAGTGAGGCACCACATTCTGCTTAATAGATGCTGTTCTTACGTCAGCTGCTTCTCAGCCTCTGATTTTCTTCCCGACACCAATGTGTAAAATTCTGTAATTCTCCCTCTTCCAGAGACTATCCTCCAAAACTGAATCTTGGCCTCTGACTTCACAAGAACCCGGGTATCTTCCATTTCCTAATTCACAAAATTTAAAAGTCCAGCCCTGACTGACCCCTCACATTTCTGTCTTCCTCACCACCACCACAGCCCCTGTCCTCTACTTCCGAGCTCAGACAGTTACTGTCAGGGCATCACACTGGCAGCCTGTCTCAAGCACACTGGGAAGACAGCCAGCGGGTGTGTGGCCTCTAGCCTCAGACACACTCTGGAACAGCTGGAACTAGTGGATGATGTCACACAAGCTAATCCCACTCTCTGGGCATCAGTTTCCTTATCTTCAAAATGGTGACATGTCACCACCCTCCCAAAGGTCTTGCAGAGATTAAGTGATCTTTGTAAAGCTGTTCGGTGTGATGTCTGGTAGTCAATAAAAGTTGAAGCAGGCTAGCCTGACAGTGAAGGGCAAGGGCCCCAAAGTCACACTGTCAGCTCCATCCCAGCTCTGCCCCTTACCTGTCTTGTGTGCTTGCACAAGTTAACATTTCCTGCCTCACTGACCTAACCTATAAAATGGGGAGAACAAAAAAATATTCTCTCCAAGTTATAAGAAGACTTAAATTAGTATATATACACTATATAAAGTGACTAGAGGAGGGTCTGGTAGAGTAAGCAGTTTGTTGAGCTAAAATTATTATTTCTTCTGAAATTACTACTCAGCTCAGCCCTTCCTTCCTACCAGAACTTTTACTTCTATCCCACTTTTTCTTCTGCTTTGGTTTGGTTTTGCTTTTCAATCCACTGTACATTCTGCCACCAGACTAGTCACTTTAAAGGATCGATTTACTAACAGTAACCACCCCTTGCTCCAACTTCCTCTCACAGTATCCACAGAACTCCGACCGTGCACAACCTCCTTGGCCACATTTCCTGCATACAGCTGGGTCCTTTCTTTCCACTTCTTTCCTCAGCTATTTCCCTAGACCCCACTGCAGCCACCTTTCTCCACTGAATGCTACCACATTCTGCAGGTCTTAAACTCACTTCTCCCAGGAGCCCCTTCTCTGACTCACAAGTGACATTCCTTCCTTCTCAATGCTGAGTCATTAGCAGCTCTGTAAACTGTCGAGCGGGTTCTGCCATATCTTTAACCATCATTTAAGTATTTTACCTTAATGACTGCTCTTCCACACCAAGTTTAAGACTCAGGCTGGGGAGGTAGCTCAGTGGATAAAGTGCTTCCACAGACCTAAGCGGAGACCCCAAGCACAACATAAAAGCCAGGCACAGTAGTACCATGATAATCTCAGTGCTGGCAGGGGTTGGGAGGGCAAGATAGGCAGATTCTGGAGGTTTCAAATCAGTGAGCCCCAAGTTTAGTGAGAGGCCCCACCTCAAAGACAAGGTAGTAACAGAAGATGCCTGACATGGACAGCGCCAGCCTGCACACACGTGCACAGGCACATAAAACACACACACACACACACACACACACACACACACACACACACACACAGGATAAAAGAATGTACTCTTCCTCAGGGCTATGGAGCAACTGCTCAGAATTCTGGAGGCAGCACTGTCATCACTGGGGTGACAGCTCTGTGAAGCCCAATACTCTTTCCCTTGCCTGACTCCCTGAAATTTGGAAGAAGATCCCCGCCCACCCCCACCCCCCAGAATAACTGCATCTTATGTGTGTACACCTGTTCACCAAAACACACTAAGCCCCTTGAAAGGTGACACTGCCAAGTTTTATCTCCCTCAGGAGCAGGAGGTCCACCCACTTGCACAAGAAGGTTTATTTGAACTGAATTTTTATCAATAAATAAGGTATTAGCTAACCCCCAAGCCTAGGTGTGCCATTAGAAACACAACACTCATGTCAGCTACTGGGCAAGGCCCTCCTGAGCCTGACCAGCCGGCCCATGTGGAACAGGACAGTAGTAGCACGTGGCTCACCAGGAACCTCCAGGAGGAACACTTCCCCATTTTCAAGTACACGGAAGAGTCAACAGCTCTGAATAAGAATCGCACCTTACCTTTTTGCTTCTCATATACGAAAGGCGGCCCTCATGAGCATCAGGGTAAGTGCAAAATAGATATGTGGTGATAGCATGCTTTAAAAAGGAATCACCAAGCATTTCAAGCCGCTCCAGGTTAAACCCATCGCTAGCATTTGACAGAGTCAAAGCCTGAAGAATCAGTCCAGGATTGGGGCCAAGAGTTCTTGAGGAGTACCCAGCTGAAGGGCTCTGCTCAGAATCCATCCTGTCCTTGGGTGCTTTAACAGCATCTGTCGTACCAGGCATCACGGACACCACGGGACTTCCATCTGAGGTAGATGTGTTAGCGTTTCCATCAAGGTATTTATTACTCAGAGTACATTCATCGCTGGGCTTGGGCTGGTTCTCATAACTGTATAAATTCTGAATGGGATATGAGGTAGTTGGTTGTACAGGTATTTCCTGCTTGTAGTAATTCAGCTGATTTCCTTGGCAAAAGTCTCTGTTAGCTAAATCATAACTGCCATTGGCAAGATTTTTATTGTAAGAAAGACCATTAATTGCTGTAAGATCCGTTGAAACTTCAATTTGGAGCTTACCAGGTGGCTCGGCGGGCAACCTTCTGCAGTTCACAGACATTTGGTCATGATTTTCTAAGGAGGTTCTATTAGCACCTTGATGTGCAGCATTTTCAGGGACTACAATTGTGCTGTGCTTACAGTAATTATCGTTTTCAGCCAAAGAGGAGTTAGAAACTGAGATGAAAGACTTACTGTCGATAGATTTTTTCCACCCGAAGTCTAAATTAGGGTATCTGCAAAAACATTTTTATAATTTTCTTCAAAAGCGGCAAAGCTCAGAACAGCATTTTGAATTTTAAAAATAAAACAACTCTAAAAGTTTTCCTACTTTAGAAGAAAACAACTTTCCAAGATAGAAAATAAAGGTAATTTGGAATTCTGCATAAGGTCAACTGTAACACAGGACAGTTTGCTGCTTCAATCTCTGGCCAAGTGTGCCTAGTGGAGCAGGTTGAAGGAGCACCAGACTTGGAGGTGACCTTCAGGATGTGGAGCCACAGGCTTTGTGGGAGGAACCCCAAGCTCTGCTGAACCAAGAGCACCTTCAGGCAACTTACACACCTGCTCAGGGCATCAGTTTCTACACTTGGCAACATGACCACCACTTCCCACCCCAGGAATGCCCATAGAATTAAATAAGTTAATACAGGCTACATCATTCAAACCAGTGCTCCACATGGTATCAAGTAATTAACTATTATAACTGTATTACTAACATTATTATTTTTAAGTTGTTTCGATCCCTAGAACCATCCATCTGAGTGATTAAGCCAAAAATTCCTTTGGCATACAGAATTTTACTAATGGGAAGAAAATGATAAAGGTAAGAATAAACTGAGGCAACTGTTTTTTAATACATAATCATTTTTTTAAGAGAAACAGTCTTAACTGTTTTCACTCTCATTTCAACATCACCACTAAAGAAGAAATTATTCTGTCTTAGGAGCAGGCCTCCCTCTAACTTCACAAATGTTAGAGGCTCAGTGACCAAGTCTGCAGAGATGTTCTCTTAGTTTTTCATGTGTAAATGTCCTTTTCTTTTTAATCTTTTAGGAACTATAAGGAAAGTACAATTTTTAACTTAATTCTCTTTGTTGCAAATTGAATTCTTTCATGCTTCCTGTGCTTTCTGGTCAATAACACAGGCATACCTAAAATCCACAGGAAGTGATCTGACACCCACACCAGCATCTCCAGCTGTCTGGGCTCTTAGCTCCTCTGCAGTCAAAAGGCAGTGAAGGCGATAAAGTATGCTGGGGAGACAAACTGCTTTTCTCCACAGCGATGCTGGAATTGGATGTATAGCACAGAGTTCTGGAACTAGTATCTGTGAGTAAAGGGAAAAATAGGTAAGTATAAAGCATACAGACGCAAAAACAATAAAGAAAAAAGAAAATTCAAGACCAATTTCAGTCATGGATAAAGATGAATATCACAAATGCTAGTAAGATCTAATTTTTAAAAATAAACCTTTAAGTCCAAAGGAGATTTACCCTAAGATTTGGGAGGATGACTTTGTGATAAATTAACAGGATAAGGATAAAAGCAAAACTCTCAATCTTTACTAAAGAGAGCATTCTGAGAAAACTCAATACTTATTTGGTGACTTCCAAAGATTCACAAGTCACTGCTATCTTGATAACATATTAAGACATCTTTAAAATCCCAAGTTCTGCTGGAACTTGTTACCTGTTTATTCTGCAGACTTTCCCATTTGGCTTTCCTCTTTTCAGCACTGCTTAGAGGAAGTGCTTTCCCCTTCTGATTCAAATGTCGAGGTGTCAAAAGATTAAGTCTATAAAAATTTCAAAACAGTTTTACCAATAAGCAAACAGAAGTGCACCCTCACAGTGGCCAGCACTCCAACTCTGCTACGCCAGCAAGTCACCTGAAGAGCTCATTAGCATCTTCTACTCCCTGGGAAAGTCCCTGTGCAAAGCACCTCATGGTTTCAGAGTCCATGGGTGAAGAGAGGCACAGTGAGCCTCCACACATGGCCCTGACCTCCAGAAAGCAAGCTCCCACGCTATCCAAATGTCATTTCTGCAACTCTTACCTGGAAGATGTGTGGTCCACATCCAGCAGTGGTTGGTTGAGATTGGTCAGGTCAAGGTTATACTTTGTTTTATAATATTCTGCAAAAGTTTCATACTCAGGGGAAGGAAATTTACTGAGTGGGGTAAGGTCAGTGTACACATCAGCTACATAAAATCGATGAGGCTGATCAAAATTTCGGTATCTAAAAACAAAGAAAACCAAGAAAATTGCTTTTTCATGTAAATCAACTACTCTTAAAATGTAACTGTTTTAAGATGAAACATACATTACAATAAGAATTCAAAGGTTAAAAACATTAGTGAAAATGTTAAAACCAAAAACTGTACTTGAGTATTTGAGGAAACTCTATTCCTACAAGTAAAAAAGAACTCTCCGCTCTCTCCCACTTTATTGTTCTTAGCATCTTTTCTTTTTTCTTTTTTTTTGAGACAGGGTCTCCCTGTAGCCCCAGCTGACCTGAACTCGTTATGTAGACCAGGCTGGCTCGAACTCACAGAGATCAGTCTGCCTCTGCCTCCCGAGTGCTGGGATTAGAGGCATGTACCACTACACTCCACCAATGTTCTAAATATCTTCTAAATATCTTTAAAAAAAATTTTAAATCTATTTTATGTGTATAAGTGTCTTTTAATATTTTATTTACAATTTTTATTTTATGCCTGCATGTATGTGAGTGCACCCATGTTGCCAATGGCCTTGGAGGTCTGAAGACCTCAACCGGAATTAGGATGGTTGTTAGCCACCATGTGGGTGCTGGGAACTAAACCCAAGTCCTCTGCAAGAGCAGCCAGTGCTCTTAACCACTGAGCCATCTCTCTAGACCCTTGTTCTAAATATACTAACTTTGCTAACACGAAAAGTCAAATGGTTCCTTCAAATATTTATTTCATCACCTATAAACCACATAGACCACTTACAACATTCAACAAAGTAAATCCTTAGTAAATTACTAATGTTAAACATGAAACATTTGCCACATAAAATGTATTATATTACCTATGACTGATAGTCTAATGCCAATATTTAAAATGTGACTGTCAGGTGGGTGGTATGGAGAGTGAATGAATATGAATCAAAGATTTAATCAATCAGCTTGTAAATTCTTTGTAAATTTTTTTATTTTAATTTACTGATTCACAATGTCATTCCCTAAATTTATGCAAAATAATTTAGAAAAAAGTACTCTTATTAGCATCACTGGGCTTAATAATAAAAATCATTGCAGAAATTTTAAGACATGGGGCTGGAGAGATGGCTCAGCAGTTAAGAGCAGTGACTGCTCTTGCAGAGGACCCAGGTTCGATTCCCAGCACTCACATGGTGGCTAACTGTCCTTAACTCCAGTTCCAGGGGAATCTGAAGCCCTCTTCTGACCTCCATGGCATTGCACGACATGGGTGCACTCACATACATGCAGACAATACACTCATACACATAAAATTAAAATAAGGTATTTTTTTTAAAAAAGAAAGAAAAAGAAATTTTAAGATACGAACATTATTTGCAAAAAAAATTGTTTAATAAGATTTTGGAAATTAAAGGGACAGAGGTTTTTTAAAGGCTATCAATATTATTTATATAACAAACAATACGTTACTTTTCACACAATCAAATCCCTTCACCTGCAATGTTTTCTGAGCTTTGGATGTTGGAAGTGAGCTGGAGAGAACAGGCCCACCAGACTCTATAAGCACTCTCAGTGATAAAGTCACAGTCCAGCATGCTCCTTCTATTTAAATACCTACCTTGGAATGATAACTGCATCTTGGTAATCTTCTAATTTAAAAACAAATGGTGTTTCTTTTGAATACTTTGTACTGGGAATGCCTATACGAGCTTCAGATTTCTCGATATCCTCCATGAATTTAAAGTCAATGTCCAAAGTGCTGGAGTCATGAACTTAAGGAAGAGAAAGACTGTTTAGCTTGTTAAAATGTAATCCAGATAAGATTCTTACTTTAGATAGACATAATGTGTCTACAGTTGTCAAAGTGAGAGCTTTAGTGTATACACCGTAAGATGCCTCCAGGAAAACTCCCAGCTTTGAGTTGCTCTAATGAACATTGAAAACCAGCATCTGGCTTACCAACGTTAAGAGGTAGAACACAGTATGCTGAGTCAGCGCCTATAGGTTTGAACTCTAGTGCGGGTTTCTCCAGCCGAAGAATCTGTGAGAATATATACTGGTGAAGCCTCGTAACCAAGTCAAGCATTTGTTGGGACAGTGTGAAAGCAGACTTCCTCAGCTCGATGGATACGGTGAGCTCCCCAGAGCGTGTATACACGGGAAAGTGCGGGATCTTGGCAAAAGAAAAACAAAGTGCCCTTCAGTGACAGGGATTCCATGACTGCTCACTCCATCTTTAGATCATGAGCGATGCTCTCAGCATCCACAGTGAGTACGCTGGGCCTACCTGAGGTATGGGTTTGGCTGTCAGTATCCCAAAGCATCTGGTGGTATCCTCGGGAGGGTAGAGCTTCCGCCTCCTGAAGTTGAGCTCATCAGGGAGTGGGGTCGTTAGGACCATTCCTATCACATACAGGTAACAAGGCTGGCCAGCTTTGGGGTAACTACCCCTCAAGCACTCTGGAATCTAGAGTTGAAAAGAAGAGCTAAGCATATGCCTGAGTACAAACTGCCTCTATTCTAGATGTTGGCAAGAAATTTATTTCTGTGTACGAAAGGCTGAGGGAAAAAAAGCTAAGCAAGCACTCGGGACAGACTCTGCTGGGGAGGTGAGTGTTCTTCTCAGGTCTGGGCTGCACACTGGCCTAAGTATGCCTATGTTGTGACACACTGTTCATTGCAGCTTTAAGTGAGATCCAAACTATGTAAAATGGTCTTTTTAAAGAAATAATGTTCATCTGACCTATTTCTTTTGACTAGAAAACTTTTTCTTGGGCTTTTAAAGTATTTACTCACCATGGAGTATCAGAAAATAAAGGCAGACCAATTTTTAATACTATGTATAATCCTGTCACTCAAAGACAACTCTTCATTAACATTCTGATATACTGTATAATTTCTTAAACTGTTTTCTTATCTAAAAATCATCTTAAGAGAACATCTTTTCCACCATACAAATCACTTGTATTAGTACCAATGGGAAATAAGTCAAAATTTTTATTTTTCAATACAAATGGAATCACATCGCATAGACCAAGGTGGGGGCATGTGTGTAAGAGAGCAGAAGGTGGGGGGGGGAGTAAGGGGGGGAGCAAGGGAGGGAGGGACAAGAAGAGGCAGGGAAGGAGGGGGACAGAGAGAAGGAATCTACTTTTATCTTAGTTATCTGGGCACGTCTTTCATTAAATCTGCATCATTTTTTAAATTCATCATATTTATTCATTTGTATGTGTGTGGGGAGCACATGTGCCTCAGCACTCTGGTAGAGATCGAGGGCAAGTGCGAGTTCGTTTCCTCCTTCCATCCCATGGTTCCTGGAGACTGAACATAGCCCATCAGGCTAAATACACTAAGCCATCTCTCTGGCCCCCGTGTCATTTTTAATGGCTCTCATTATTTGAGTGAGTCATAATTAAATATCCTCAAGTTGTTTCTGAGGTTTCATAATGAGCCCTACAGACCAGAGCCTGTAGTTCTGAGATTCAACAACCACTGAACCAACAGAGAGAAGGTATGAGACCGGCTAAGACAGTGTGGTCAGCAGAGAGCATGGAATGGGCTGGCCAAGCAGGAGGCAAGGCAAACTCTGCTCTCAGAACACATCCACAATGGTACTTTCTTTATGTTTATGAATGTATTGCCAGCATGTATGTAAGTGCACCCATGTTATGCAGTGCCCATGGAGGTCAGAAGAGGGAGCTGGATCCCCTGGAACTAGAGTTACATACAGATAGTTGTTAGCTGCCATTTAGGTGCTGGGAATTGAACCAGGGTCCTCTGTAAGAGCAACCAGTGCTCTTAACTGCTGAGCCATCTCTCCAGTTCCTCCCCCGGCACTTATTATAATAAATAAATCTACCAGGAAAACTGGCTATGAGGGAAACAGGCATCACACAAAAATAACATTCAGAATTTGAAAAAATAAGATTTTACATTCTGAAAAGGCTTAGTAGGTACAAAGATTTAAAGTACAACCTCGGTAAAAACTGCGGAAACAAAACCAGAATCACATATTTAGGCAAATATATAAAATAAATTTTGCTTTTGTTTGGGAACCTTATGAGTTGAAAATAGTAATAAACACCTAAAAGACAAACACTTCAGTCAAGTATGAGGTGTCAATATTGAATCCTGCTAGGATACCGCAGGCCAGGAGACCCACTCTTCTGAAGGAAGCTATTCTAACCCACAGCATAACTCTTGCCAGCCATCTGTTTCTACCTGGTGCACCTGCCCATCAACCTGGGAGAGCAGCTTTTCACTTGCCTGTTTTACCATCCTGTCTCATCAGCAATGGTGAATTAGGCTAGACTCACACCACTAAAATAAATGAAAAAAAGAGTCTCTCTTTAAATGAAATAAACTCATTCTGAGTAGAATCTGACAGATGACTCAAGAATCTGTTTGAAAGGCATGACAGAACAAAAACAAAACATTTAAAGTGAAAGGAAAAAAGGTTGCTGTGGAGTTGTGAATCAGAGAGATGAGCTGACACCCACAGCCTAGAAAACATCCAAGCAGAGAATTCAGGACTTGATGCAGCAGGAAGCAGAGCGAGAAGGCTCGGTTACTCATTTCTACCCATACTAACTGCTTTGGGGTAGCACTGCCTTCGCTTTGTGGACCCTGGTCTTCCAGGAACACTGGTTTCTTCTTCGTCATGTAAGTCAAGCTCTTCCTCATATTTAACAGTCTCTTTCCCAACTGGCATCAAATGTTCATCCAGCTCACCTAAGACATTTGAAAAGAGAACTGATGTCAGCAACCCAGATTTTGCCTAATGAGTAATCATCTAGGACAGCACTAAGTTGAGGAAGCATGTGAAAGAATAATGGGAATTAAGGCAACTTTGCCTGTAAAAATGTAAAAGTAGCTGGGCGTGGTGGCACACACCTTTAATCCCAGCATTTGGGAGGCAGAGGCAGGTGGATCTCTGTGAGTTTGAGGCCAGCCAATGGTCTACATAGCGAATCCAGGTCAGCTGTGGCTACAGGGAGACCCTGTCTCAAAAATACCCCCCCAAAAGTAAAAGTAATGGCAGGTGATACTTCAGGTAGTCTAATCCATAGTCATTTGCCCAACATAAGCAAGCCCACAAATTCCAAGATTAAAAATGAAAACATCAGCAGGACAGCAGCACACATCTTAACACAAGTTTTTTGGGTTTTGTTAAGGGGTTATTTTCTACACCAGTATAGACTAAATCTGAGAAGCTAACACACTAAACATATATGATTATGGCTGACGATCAACCGTTATAAAACCTCTTATGTATTTAACAGGGGCCAGTAACAGCAGCAGTTAAGCTGTAGAAAGTAAAGAGTTCCCACACCACTATGACAGGATCTCTGAGTTGTAGAAAACTCATACCTACATCAAATCATACCCAAACCAGCAAGTCTACACTTCAGTAAGCTGCTGGAAACCTGTGGAGTCCTCAGTATGTTCTACTGGTAATTTCTGACATTTATTTTAATTTACATGTTTGCCAAACACATTTACTTACCAATTTTGTGCAGTTTTTCGCAGCAAATGAGAGCTACAACTCTTTCAGCCAATCGTACACAGCCCATTGGTGGGCCCTGAAAATAAGAACACCACATTTCCATTGCACATATCTGCAGCTATGATACCAACACATGAAACAGCCACGGAACTTCCGCACCAGCATCACCATCACTCAACTTGTCAGAACATGTTCTTTATTTTGTTTAAGAAAACTGCAGCAAGGTTTTTAAATAATCCTTCCGATTTGTTTTTGTGTTACTTTTGGCAGTGCTAAGAATGGAATCCAGGGTCTCACACATGTTAGACAGGGTTCTGCAACCAAGCTACAGCCCTAGTCCTGAAATATCAATCCTTAAAAACCCTGTTCAGTAGAAAATGAATTTATAAATAAGATTTTACAGTTTTAATAAATTTGCATTTCAGTAAAATTTTAAAGTGTATTTTTTCACTGGCCAACACATATGCAACAAAAAATAAAGACATGAGGCTATAATATATACTAATAATATGAACAGCTTTTTGGTGGACTAGAAATTACTCATTTTGGAACATTTACAAATTGGTATCAGGGCCAAGGAAAGGGCAGCAGTTATAAAAGGCAGATTTTTAGGTACAATGGCTGAACTACATTTCATGAATTCTGTGTCACTATACACATCAAAGCTATAGCTAAATGATTTCTCAAAGAAGGATCAAATTAAGGTGACCTTAAGGAACTTCCAGGTCACCTAGTCAAATTCTAAGAGTTTTTAAATTATCATCTATAAAAAGCTGAACACATAATTGACTGAGACTTGGAAACCTATTTTTCAGAGTAGATTTTAAAACCAAATTTATAACTTGAATATCTTAAAAAACTAGGAAAAAAAAATCCCTTAATGACATACTTTAAAACGCAGTCATTTCTTTTTCTAAACTTACAACAATGGAGGCTCGAAGAGGTGAGTTAATCGGAAGATAAAGAGTTGAATAAAATGTACCATCAGGCAACTCTCGGGTTCTACATTTGGGAGCTAGATGAGTAAACGGATCACTTGGTAATCGAGCACAGTATCTGCGAAGAGAAAAATTCTGAAGCTGAATCCACAGCGAGACGTGGACAGGAAACTGTCCTAATACTCACAGCCTTCTTCGCTGGACTGGCACTGGCATATGGAGTGCTCTTCACTGCTTCCACTTTTCAATGATAGAACTGAACACCTGAAATTGATGTGTACAGCTAGTAGACTACATTTTTAAATCTTATTTTAATTGAAATTGAAGCTTAAATGTAAAAGGCACCTTGTACAGTGTGTTACTACATTACACAATGTACAAAGCATTGCTCTGAATCAGTGAAGAGAACAAATCACCAGTGTTTGTTTCTTAACAATCTTCCATTTGCCAGCAACCACCAAGGCGTATATGAAGAAGGCATTAAGAGGGCAGAGGGAAGCCTAGGGCTGACCAAGCAGAACCAGAAGCTCACTGAGCAGTGAGTAGCACAAGGAGAATGATGGAGTAGGGCAGGAAACTGGGCCAGGGAGGAGGGTGCTAGACTGGCAGCAACCCTGCGAGGGAGGACATGGGCAGTTAGGGGCTCTGCAGACAAAAGGGCCAGCTGCATAGGGGCAGGCTCAGCACATGAATGATGACTAACAACAACAGAACCAGACTCTCAGTATAGGAAGAGAAAAGTATAAAGAAAAAGGAAATCTAGAATGAACTTAGAGCCACACTGAAAACAGAAGCACCAAAAGCTAGGTGTCAGATAGAGCGATACAGTTGTATATGTATGTGCACACAAATAAACATAAACAGACCATAAACTCTCCAACTCTGTCCACTAAAAGGCCTCATGTGTTGGTTTCTCAGTATCATCCACTCTCCACTAACAGGAACCAGGGCCCCATGGAAAACAGCCAAAATTAAGGTCCAGGCAGGCGCATACTCCAGCTGAGTCTAGACTATCTTGTGTCACAAAAAAGTGTTCTACGGTGGCAAGTCAGCACAGAAGCTAGCCTGAAGGTGTTCCTAATGGCCAAATTTGAGACAATTTTAACATTGAAATAAGTAATAGATTACAATCTGTTAAAGTGGGATCCATAAATTGACAGATAAAAATAATAAATGAAAAGAAAAAAAGTTCTTCCTTACAACAGAATGCCAACTAACAATTAAGGACTAATGGACCTAGAAAATCCTTCAGTAATCATAATCATCATCATCAATCTAGACAAGAACAATGGATATTACACTAATGGGCCGACCTGGACAGAGGAGCAAGCTGCGTATGGTCTCAAAGTCTCGCCCCACAGGATAAGCAACAGCTAACTTTACAGTATTTAATGCTGGCAAAAAAAAAAAAAAAAAAAACTTCACAGAAACTCAGAAAGAGAGGCAGACTATAAAAGGTCTGGCTGATAATCTTTAAATTTCCAGGTCATGGAAGTCAAAGGAAGATTGGTTCTTTATCATCTGTAGTATCTGCATAAAGAAAAGGTCATTTTTAATGCAGCGTTATGTAGTAAAAAACGTTTCATACTTAGCAGGGAAGCATGATGAAGGCATGCTTTTGGTCATGCTCACTGATTCTTTTTCTAAATCTTGAAATTTCTAAGTTTTTTGTGTTGAACTGGGTTGAAATTTTGGGCAGTACTGAATTTTTCCATTAGCAAAGGGGTGAGATAATTATTAATTTGTATTTGAATACAATCTACTATATCCTAAGCTGGTAACTTTTCTAAGAATTAAAAGAATAGATTACAGATCTATTTTGTGTATCAGGATAAATCTCATTTAAGGGTAAAACAAAGGAACAAATGTAAGATTTTACTTACACTTTTATGTGGAAACTATTTTAGATTTTAAAATGCTGTCAGAATATTAGGGAGTTTTCATACACCTTCACCCAGACAAGCCACTCAAGTTTCATACAAATATGCTTTTTAGTCAAAGCATTCAGTCCAGGATTCTAGGCTGCACTGGGCCCTCACATCTCTGTATCTTGGCTCTTTTCTTGATTTCAGTGGCCCTGCTTTGCAACTTCTAAAGATTGTGGGCCAGTCATTTTGTAGTCTGCCCTTCAATCTGAGTTTGTCTGGGACTGTTTCACGACTAAACCCAGTTTCTACACTTTCTGGCTGGAATGTCCCTGAAGTGCTGCTGTGTTCTGCCCTTATGTAATAATGTATCCCTTTACTCTTCTCAGGATGATACTGATCACTGAGGGGATCTGCCAGTACTCTACAGAAAAATTACTGTTTACTTACCTGTAGGGAGAGGCAATACAATACCTACAGGTTTAGACCTCACCTATTGATATGTCCAATGGCAGTGTTGATTGTGACTCGTGGACCCCCATCATCAGGCCTCAACACATATGGTGGGAAAACATCATCATCATCCACAACAGCATCAACATCAGCCTCACCACCATCCACTGACTTGGAACATTTGTTTCTTAAGATCTGAGCATTTGAAAACATAACACAGTATGAGCACAAATTTCTTCTTTGCTTCTTTACCAAGCTATCTGTCTGTCCCTTTACTTATAGTGAAAACTCTTACCAAGGCATGGTGACACATGCCTATAACCCCAGCACTTAGGAGGCTGAGGTACAATAACCATGGGTTCTAGAACAACCTAGGCTATACAGCAACACTGTCTCAAAACAAAACAACAACAACAAAATATTGATGTGTAGTGTAAGACAAAACCACCTCTCATACTTCAAAGCCCCAAAGTCATGTGCTGCAGGAAAGTTCTCCCACAGAATCCTCCCAGCTCCAATCATGTGCAGACATCCTGTCAGTGTCTTAGTATAACTACTATGTCATCACTCTTCCTCCACAACCCAGACCAAAATAGCCACTATACTGTCCACCCCTTCCCAGACACCCTTTTCAAATGAGCCATAGGACCATTTCACTGCTATTTTATTGGGGCATTCTGCTTTGTGAAACACTGCCAGGTCTCTATAATCACTCTCAGCTTCCTCGTAATACACATATTGTATACCTTGCTGAGGCTACTCTTGTGACTAAAAACTTCGTATCCATTTCTATGTACACAAATAATAATGAAGATTATTAACCTTCTTAGTTTTACCTTTTCTATAGCTTTGTAAGTTTTAAGGTCTTCTTCAAAACTCTTTATTTTGTCTGTATCTGCTAACATTACATAATTAGAGATCGGTGCTCTTGCTCTTCCTTTAGATTGAACATAGGATCGATACTCTGTGGGCAAATCAAAACGAACCACCAAGTTGCATTTTGGTATATCAACACCCTCTTCTACAATACTTGTTGCAATAAGCAGGTTGGTTTCATGAGCTCGAAATTTCCTAAGTACCTGAAAAAAATTCACCAAGAAAAGCAATTCTAAGAAATTTCCCAAAGAAAACATTACAGAAACCACCCACCATGGTTATTTCTGACGTTTCCTGTTCAGGCTGTCCTCACAGTATAGAGAAGATGACAGCATCACTGAACCTGTGAGGTACAGTCCCATGGCCACAGACATTCTCATTCAATACAGTTCTCACAGAGAGTCTTCAAGTTGTAGGTGTTGGCTTCTCTTTAATGGCCACAAGTTGATCAACAAGTGGCCCAATGAACTCACTCCTTAAGTCCTGCTGCTAGGCTGACCCTCCACAACGGTACCTTATGTCTATGAGATTGTGTGGTTTCAACATCTCTGCAAAGATGTTAAAACACTACCACTAAAATCTCCAGTGCAGTTGGAATTAAAATCCATAAGCAGAGCACTACTTATTTCCTGGCAACTGAGAAACTTTCAATTTTAGGAAACAGAATTGATTAAAACAAAGTGCACGTGTTTTCAGGCAAATTTTAAATCACATTACAATTCCCTGTGATGGTTAATCTTACTTGGTCAACTTAATAGGATTTAAATCAGAATACCTAGGAGACAAATCTCTGGACCTGTGTATAAGAGTGTTTCCAGAAAAGTCTAACTGAGGTAGGAAGATCCACCTTCAATATGGGCACCACCATTCATGTGCTGGGGTGCACACTACATAAAAAGGAGATCGTGCTGGGGTGCACACTATATAAACACAGTATATAAAAAGGAGACCTTGCTGGGGTGCACGCTATATAAAAAGGAGACCGTGAGGTGAGTGCTAGTAGTCACCTCTGTTTTCTGACTGTAGCTGCCTCACACTCCTGCACACCTTCCTGCTGCAATACACTATGCTCTCAAACTACGAGGCAAAGGGACCATTCCTTCAGCTGCTTCTGTCAAGTATTTTGTAACAAGAAAGTAATATATTCCTCAACTCAGCTAGTGAAATATGCTGGTTTTTCAGACAATAAGCCTGGCTCCTAAACTCTCCAAAACTGGAATATGATCAAAAGGCTATGACCAAAACGCCTATAACAAGAATTTATAGCAAATAGCAAACTTAAAAAAGTTGTTCACAAGCCAGAATACTTAGCTTTCAGCATCTTTATAAGGCAGTTTCTGATAAGACCTTAAAAAGCATGAATAGTTTCAAGCTAAATTTACAAAGTACAGTTTTTTCAAAAAATATATCCAATCAATGTAAGCCTTCAAAAGAAACCATAAAACATATCCAAGACTGCAGCTTGTTGCTTTGTAGGCATGTGTGTCTACATAGTTCTTCTCTCTGCTTTGCTCTCCTATGAGTGTGCTTATGTGACAGCAACTCTGTAATGGAAAATTAACTGCTTAATAGCAATTAAGACGAAAAATTAAATCACGAGACAGCTACTCTAATCTGAGCATACTCAACAACCCTTAGGCACCTCATACAGGACAGATGATCTATATATAAACAAGTAATAACCACATTATCAAAAAGAAAGAAGGAAAAACCAGGCCTGGTGGAGCATACCCAGAGGCAGAAACAGGCAAATCTCCATGAAATCAAGAACAGTCTGGTCTACAACTTGAGTTCCAGGCCAACTGGGGCTACAGACAGATGTCTCAAAAAGACCCCACACCCCCCATCCTCCACCCCTGTCAAAAAAAAAAGGGAGGGAAGGAAATGAAGTTAACTGGGGGAACTCTGAAGTAAGTTGCTGCAGAGTTTGTCAGCGTGGCTGTGAAGCTCTTGTCATTACGTTACCTCTTCCTGCTTTCTAAATTCTGCTTCCATCTGTTTGTTTCGAGGTTGGCTCTTCCCAATGCCGTGTCCAGTTATGAAGTTGCTGCTGATATAAGCCAACTCTGGATCTTGTTTGCCAGCTTCCTTTATCAATCTAAGAAAATCACATATATTTGGAGGTCAAACACTGCTGAGAGAAACATTTAAATTTGGGTTTTAATTATATTTATTTGTGTGTGTGCCTGCTTGTCTGTATGTGCACCACATGTGTACAGATGCTACATATACATAACAGAGGGCAGGATGGGGTGTCAGAGGATTCCTGGAACTGGAGTTATAAGTAGTTGTGAGTCTCCTATGTAGGTGTTGGGAACCGAACTCCAGTCCTCTAGAAGGGCAGTATGTGCTATTAACTGCTGAGTCATCTCTCCAGCCCCTTTAATTTTTGTTTTGAAGGTCTCTTTTAAAATAGGAATATATACGGGGATGTGGTGGTGCACACCTTTATTTCCAGCCCTTGGGAGGCAAAGGCAGGCAGATCTCTGTGAGTTCAAGGCCAACCTGGTCTACATAGTAAGTTCCGGCCAGCTGGGGCTACAGGGAGACACTGTCTCAAAAAGACTTTAAAAAAAGAAAAAAGAAAAAAAAAGGAATATATGTCTAGAGTTGGTTTTTCATTTTTGTTTTGTTTCGGTAAATAGTGCTAATAAATGGTTGCTCTAGTTTCTTTCTGTTGCTGGGATAAAACACTCTAACGAAAAGCAACTTAGGGGAGGAAAGGGTTTATTTCAGCTTACAACTCCAGGTCACAGTCCATCCATCATTGAGGAAAGCCAGGGCCAGAAATGAAAGCAAAAATTTGAAGGCAAGCCTGCTTGCTATTTCACACAGCATTACTTCTGACCAAGGAACTCACTTCATAGCCAAAGGAGCACAGCAGGGACCATGGAGGATGCTGCTGGCTCACAGGCCAACTTACATACTCCGGTAACTTTCTATACAGTTCAGGACTATGTGCCTAGGGATGGCACAGCTCACAATGGCCTGGATCCTCCTACATCAATCATTAATCAAGTCAATCTCCCCTACCCACAACTTCAGATATACCCACTGGCCAATCTGATCCAGACAGTTCCTCAAATGCGCCTCTAGGCTGTGCCACACTGACATTTAAAGCTAACCAGTATAATAGTCTTGATTATTTTTTCCCTACCTAGCATCAAGAAACACCACTGCCATGCTTTACTCCTCAGACCTGTGGGTGAAGTGCCTGCCACAACAAGGTCAAGGCTGGCGTATACCAACAAGGCAAAGGGTCACTTTTACTTCAGCTTTGAATTTGGTGATAATGATGTAATAGAAATGTGGCCTATGGGACCAAGCTAGTGAGAGAAGTATAGCGCCTGAACCTCTAGGAACAATAGCTAGACACACTCTGCTACACCTAGAGTCAGCAGTTGTCACACCCTCTCCTCTGTGGCTGTGAGTAGTCTAACACCAAGGGGAACAGCTCACTCTCCTCTGTAGGTCCAGCTCCATGTGAAAAAGAAAGTGGTCTGCTTTTGTTCATCCTACCCAGCACTCTGGATCACTAGAAGCAGAGCTCCTGGGAGAGAGGTGCCCTGCCATCTCAATTCCAGCCATTTTGGGTTGGGTCCCTGGATTATGAACTACAGAGCTCACCCAGTGGAATACTGGGCTTTGCCATACCAATGTTCAAGGCTTCCCACCCCATCATGTCACGGAGGAGCCCCACACTGCAGCCCCCTTTCCTGACTGTTCCTCTAACCTGCAGTGCCAGAAACCCAAAGGGGACTTCTAAGATGTGGAAAAGAGCTACAGGGCAGATCATGTTACATGGGCACTGAAGGTTAACACTTAGTGCTGCCATTACAGCTATTTTGGAAATATCCACATTCAAAAACTCAGCACACGGGATAAATGGTTCCACACCTGACCTAAGTGATTCCACATGGTCCCTCTGAACTCATACTACACAGTATAAATTCCTAATGGAAAACTGAATTTTTTAAGTCAAATCATTCTTTATTTCTTTTCATATGTGAAGCAAGCTAATATGAAGGAGCTGGAGAAACTGAGTAGTCATGTGGAGCATCTCATGCCCCAGTCTGCAGAAGGCCTGCCTGACCAGGCCAGCGGAGACTGTCCTTCTTCTGCTCCAAGGTTTGATTGTTGTAATAAATGTGAGAAATCAGTAACGAAGAGCAGAATCACATGCAAACAGCATGCCCCAAAGCCTAATGTCTGAAAGAAATCACCTTAGAAATAAAAACTGTTTTAGTTTATATAAATAAGCATCCATTTGAATGTAATAGGAGGTTTAAAAATGCATTTCAAGTTATCCTAATTAAAGAATACTTTGCCCAAATTATCAACTTAGCAGACTTCATTAGCTGAGAAATGGAAGCACCAATGGGAATTTATTTCTCCTTAATGATGCCTACATCAAAACTGCAGAGAGCTGGAGACAACAGACACATTAATAAAAGTATCCTGCAAACAATAATTAAATGTGATACAGGTATGCCATTAACATTTAGAGGAAAATGACTTCTTGGCTGGATAAATTTGAGAGATGCCTAACAATATCTCAAGTCCCAGACACAGGCTGCTTAAAGATTTCCTGATGCCACAGAACAGGTTGGAAAGCCTTGTTTCAGGACATTTAAACGCAGCTGGCATGAGCTGCTCCACAGCAGGCTGTATGAGGAAAGCAGACACTATCCCCCATGCACGGTGCTCCTCACGTTTCCAGTGGTGAAAGTCGGGTGTTTGGAAAAAAATATCAAAGACCAATCCTTTCCATAAAGTTCACTACTAAGAAAATGAAACTTAAAAAGCATTAAAACTCAACAATATTACACTTAGGGAACATAAAATTATTGTCAAACTGTCTATAAAGAGTGTTTGTGTGTACTCGCAACCTCTCTGTGAAAACTCAGGGCAGAGGGAGGACCGCACTGTACGACCATCTGATGCCTCCCCAGGAGGACTAGAAACAGCATGACCAAACACAGGGAGTATGGACGTGAAAACGAGAAACTGTTATGACCACACGTGCTCATCAGTACAGACAACCACAGAATGAGCAAGTCAGACACAAACATCTGAAATTTTTACCATGCATCTGAACTGTATTACCAACCTGATTTCTATGTGCCTCTTAATCCTTATGCTATCTTATCAGTGTGAGCAAACCAAATATAACTTTCTATGAGTTTACCCACCCAAACCCAACTATTCGTAGTTAAAGGACAGCACACTACTAAAGACATCACCCAAATGTGTCAATAAAGGACTTAAGAATGAGCATCTACCCTTAGCCAGCTGAGAAAAAAAAATTTTTTACAAACACAGTAGAAAAGAGGGGAGATATTAGTATTTTACTAATGAAGATGCTGAGGCTTTAAAAAGCTATTAAGGCCGGGTGTGGTGGCACATGCCTTTAATCCACGCACTTGGGAGGCAGAGGCAGGCCGATCTTTGTGAGTTTGAGGCCAGCCTGGTCTACATAGTGAGTTCCAGGACAGCTGGGGATACAGGGAGACCCTGTCTCAAAAACACACACAAAAAAAAAGGAAAAAAAAAAAAAAAGCTATTGAGCCAGGCGTGGTGACACACACCTTTAATCCCAGCATTTGGGAGGCAGAGGCAGGCCAGGCTTACAGGAAGACCTTGTCTCGAAAACACACACACACACAAAAAAAAAAAAAAAAAAAAAAAAAAAAAAAAAAAAAAGCCCAATAAATTTTTCTAAAAAATTTTAAAAAAATAAAAAAAAAAAAGACCAAGGGTTCCTTTGCAAAAATGGCTGATAATGGCTATGGGAGTAGAAAATACCACAGCCTGGAACTTTTATATAAAAAAGTAATCTAAAACCTTTATTAAAAAGCAGTGATGGGGCTGGAGAGATGGCTCAGCGGTTAAGAGCACTGACTGCTCTTGAAGAGGACCCACGTTCGGTTCCCAGCACCCACATGGCAGCTACAAACCATCCTTAACTCCAGTTCCAGGAGAATCCAAAGCCCTCTTCTGACCTCTGCGGCATTGCATGACATGGGTGCACTCACATACATGCAGGCAATACACTCATACACATAAAATAAAAATAATAAATATGTTTTTAAAAAGCAGTGATAAGCTTCTTGTTAACAAATAAAACAAAGAACAAGCAAAGCAGGAACAGCTTCCAATGGCCCAGGTTGGAACAATGAACAGAAAGAAGAAAAGGAAAACACACCTCACTGGAGAGGGCTAGCAGGCACTGTAGGAACTAAGGGGCAACGTCTAGCACTGCCAATGTTGTCTGTTGTACCAGGAGGCTGTCAGAGAACCAAAATGGAAGACCATCTGTAGTATTCTTCCAAATCTCACAACCCTAGCCTAACCCTGAAAATGCCATCAGGCAACCCAATGGAGGGATGCTTATGAAATGCCTTACCAGTATCCCTGACTGCCAAGGTCATCAAAATAAGGAAAGACAGAAAATCTGTGAGCAGACCAGAGACTGGAAAGACAGCAATGCTGTAAGTCACTGGGATAAAAAAGGGCAGGGAAGCTAAGGTGGTGGTATATACCCGTAGTCCATTACTTGGGGGGAGGAGGGAGAAGGAACAAGAGTTCAAGGTCATCCTCAGCTACATAGTAAGTTGGAGGCCAGCCTAGACTGAGATCCTGCCCCCCCAAAAAAAAACAAAAGGAGAAGAGAGCCGAACATGTAATCCTAACAAATGGGAGGCTAAGGCAGAGGATCCTGAGTTCGAGGCAAGCCTCAAACCATGCTTCAAAACAGCACAAAGACAGGAGTGGAAAAAAATGGCTAATCTGAAAGAAGACTCAAGTGCAGTCCATTGTGCCACACTGACAGTTTTCATGGTTGTGACAGATGGTGGTACAGGACGTTAACAGTGGGGAAACAGGAGAGGGACATAGGTGTTCTGTACTCTTCCCAACTTTTCTGTAAATCTAAAATTATTTTAGAATAAAAGGATATTAGGGGAAAAGTTACAGGGTAGACAGGATGTGAACTCAGTTCTGTCCAATGCCTGTTTCACACAATCCTACTAAATCTCAGGGTGGAAAGAACACTAGACTTGGCAGCGGGGCCGTTTCCTGACACCTGATACTTGTTCTGGCAGGTCACAGACAGCCTTGGTTTCTTCATCAGTAATATGGTAAGGACATCTGCCTTCCTCCCACGTGGAGTGTTGTCAACCTTTTTTAAGTATACATAAAAGGAAAATGGTAAACATGAGACCGAGCACACACAGGAGTAGACGTGCCTGGCTGTTCAGGAGAGGAGAGGGAAGGAGAGGAGAGCAGGCTTCTGCTCCCTCACTGAAGGAAGATTTTCCTCCCATTAAATCAATGGAAGGAAGGAATGTGAATTTCAGGAAGTTTTTCTAAACTTATTAAAAAACTTATTAGAACAAAGCTGCTATTGTACATTTAATTAGTTGCCTGTGGAGTCAACCTTCAGAGTGTTCTTCATTCATCCTAGAACACTAAATTCCAGCCATAGTTTACAAAAGCTGATCGCAATTAATCTGATCCTTAAAGTCAATAGGGAGTGACTGATTTCGGATGAACCTTTGTGGTCTAAAACGCCTACAATAAAAACTGACACATTACATAAAATATACACAGAGCTACAGCATGAATTTAGAGAAAGAAAAAAAAAGCTTTCTTAAGATTGGAGAAGAAAAAAAATTAGCTAGGTGTGGTGGCACACACCTTTAATCTCAGCACTATAAGATCCAGGCCAGCCTGGTCTACATAGTGGGTACCAGGCCTAGTGGGACTATAGGAAGACTGTCTCAAAAAAATAAAAGGAAGGAAGGAGGGGGAGAGGGATGGAGGGAGGGATGGTTGTAGCATCAGTGGACGTGACCATGCTCCTGGCTCTAGGCAGCTGCTTCCGTTTCTAATTAATTCTCACCGCAACCCCATTCTCAAGAAAAAAGCTGAGGCCTCAGGTTTGAGGGGGGAGGGGGGAGGAGAGGAGGGGGAAGAGAGAGAGCGAGAGAGCGAGAGAGCGAGAGAGCAAGAGAAAATAAACTCCCATTCTTCTGAGTCCAGAAAATGTTCACCCTTTGCCACCAGACCCAGGGCAGAGGTCTAGCCATAACTGGATAGAGACTGGTGCCAGAGTTAAACTTTTCTGACCCCTGAAATGCCTTTTCCCCAGTCTAAGAAATAATCCCTCAGCAGCCATGTGCTCCTCGCTCCTCTGGCTGGCTTCCCGCTGTAAAGCAAGGGTTCTGGTATTCTGGGAGACCCGGGGGCATTGTGATTGTAGGAAGAAATAGAAACTGGGAGTTAGGATATTAGGATTCTAGAACTGTCTCTGCCACTGACTAGCAATTTAACTTACAGCAAATCACTTTTCCTCCTGAGGCACTTTCCATTTTTTATAAAAATAAGTGGTTGGATTAAGCATTCAGTGAGGTCCCTTTCCAACCTTAAACTTCTGATTTAAATGTAATTCAGTACCTAAAGTTATTTCACTTCATATTCATCAGAAGGTTCAGGCTCAATGACTATGAAAATTACCAGACTGAAAACACCAGATGACGACTCTCCAGTCCAATTTCCCGTTACAAAAAAAAAAAAAAAA